ACAATACCCAGGCTTTCTTGAGCGGAGGTTCCTGCGGCTTTCCTTGGTGCATTGTGTCCCTGGCTAATCGAGAATGGAGAATGGCGATGCCTTTCACAAACCATACTGCCTGCAAGAACTTTTTTAACAAAGCACATCTTACACAGCCCGAGACCAATGAAATCTTGATTCAATACACACATGTTTCTGTGAACACAGGGTTGGGGCTAAGGTTACAGATTAACAGCATCTCAAAGCATAAGAATTTTTCTTAGTACAGATCAAAATGGAATTTCTTATGTCTTCCTTTTTCTACACAAACACAGTAACAGTCTGATATCTTGTCTTTTCACCCACAATGTATGACTTTCATATACAGTTTCTCTGATCTGGTCCACAAAGAGCTAAACATTCATCCAGATGTGGTCTCTGAACAATCGCTGCTGCCCAACATCACTGACAGCACGGGGCCCTCACCCCATCTCCATCCATGTCTGGTGTGAGCCCTTCCCAGGACCATGCCCAGGGGAGCCTCTTCACAAGCTCATGTCACTAGGTTATAGGAGATGGAATTTAAGTGAAGATGACAAGGACTGAGAAAAGGCATGGGTGAGCGCCAGCAAACGTGTGAGGCAGGACGCTTCAGACTCACAGAAGACTGGCTACCACAATACCTGGCATTTCAGAAAGGAAAGAGACAGCAGAATCCACCGAGGAATATCACTCACCTGAGGAAGAGCCATCCCTGGATCCTTTTCTTTCCTCTTCTTGGTGGCTTCCTCATGTAACATGAGTCTTTGGAAATCCTGTGTGTGAAAAAACATCAGAGATTTAATATTTAGAAATCACTCCCTCCTTTCCTGTGTCAAAACACACACACAGGGGAGACCTCACCTGGGAGAAAGATGGTCCTCTGCTGCCCACTGCACCAGAGATTATGCAGAGATAAGAACGTCCCACAGGAAAACCTACAAGGCTAATTTTGACCCATTTTCAGATCTTGCTCCCCTCCTGGAAAAGTCCACACACGCTGCAGCAGGGCACAGATCTCCAGTGCACAGATCTGGCCCTAACCAAACCCCACACAGAGCACAGTCCCCTCACCTCCCTGTGGATCACAGGCTGATCTCAGTTCTCAACATGGAGGAAACTGCCTCGATGTTCAATGCTGGACACCGATGAGAATCACCAGCACCATAGTAAATATTACTGAGGGTGGGTTTAAATCTATGATAACAGCAATCTCTGATAAAACGGCATAAAAGATGTATTTCCAAAATGCCTGAGAACTCTAATGTGAAGTCAGGGTTGAGCTCCCCTCAGAGGGCGCCAGCCCAGCACAGCCCCACCTTCTGGCTCTGCTCTCTGCTTGGGGACTTGTTCCCACCAGGATCCAGTGAACAGCAAAGGAGCAAAAAGAATCACACGGAACAGGCAACATGGACCAGAGGTGGGGGTGAAGGTGGAGCTGCCATGTCAAATGGGGGACTGTGGGCGATCAGAAGTTTCCACAGAAAAACTGATGTCAGAACAAAGACTTAGGGAAGAAACGCTGCTTGTCACTTGCAGCTGATGGGCCAGAGAATCCTAGGCAGAGGGACAGCCCGAGTGAAGGCCCTGAGAAAGGAGCAACCTCAGTCCCAGAAAAAAGAAAGAAGCCTGCGTGTCTGGAGCAGAGGGAGCCAGGAGAACCCAGGCAGGAGATGAGGTCAGAGGGGTCCTGGGAGCCCAGATCCATAGGGATGAGGTCTTAAAATATTTTTCTCTCACACTTCAAAAGAATTTCGGAAATGATGTATTTTCTCACTCCTTTTATGTATACCTGCAACTTTCTCTTTACATTATAAATGACAACACTTACAAATAATGTAATTTATCTCCCATATTTAAAATACATGCTGTCAAGTTTGACTAAGTTTCCAGAAGTAAACTGTCACCCTCATCTGAGACGTGTAGGACTGTAAGGGAATGTGTTTAGGGGTTTAGGAAGTCACTTATGGACACGTGAAGGTGGAGATGCCTGTTTGATGTCCCAGCAGAGAGCTGAGACAACTGGACACAGGATTGTAGAACTCAGGGGACAGGCCTGCAGGGCACATGGGTAGGTGGGTTAAAACTGTGAGATAAGGAAAAGCAGTGGGTGTGGCCAGAGAAAAGAATAAGTTCAAGATGATTTGAGTCTAATCCCCCGTTTTTTCCATTCTGGTATTTGTGTTTTTACATTTTGGGAGGACAGGAATCCATTTAAAATTCAAATTACTCCTGAGCATTGCCCTCTCCTACAGGAAAAGCCACACACTATTTGGCGAAGTATTTCAGGGGTCAGCGTCACTCTGACTGAGCTTTTCTGGTCTTATTCCCCACCTGTACATTACAGGTTGTGTCAGTTGTTCCGAGCAGGAGACACTTCACCAAAAGTACAAAAAATTAGCCAGGTGTGGTGGTGTGCATCCGTGGTCTCAGCCATTTGAGAGGCTAACTGGGGTGGATCTTTGGCCCTGGGAGGCAGAGGTTGCAGTGAGCCAAGATCGTGTCGCTGCACTCAAGCATGGATGACCTAGTGACACTCTGTCTCAGAAAAAGAAAAAAAAAAAAATTCCAGGACAATTTTATACACTTGAGCAAATGAAGTATCTCTTTCAACGTCTAAGGTTCTGATGGTATGAATCCTAAACATGTAACTATTTTCTCAGAAAAAATGATAGTAATATCTTCAAAATAAACACGATTGGGAACACATAGCTATAGGTGTTTAAAACACTGAAAGAGAGGCAGCGGTACAAAGGAGATCTGAGCAAATGTTTTCTTCATGAACACAGGGGCTCTGCTGGAACAAGGTTCCAAGTCAATCCTGCCCATCCTTCAACATCTGCAAAGAATACTATGGACCAGAGAAACTTGAAGGGAACATTCACTTAGCAGCTCACAGCTCACCATTTAATCAGATGACATGAACAAAGAAAATGGAATAATAGGCTACTTCAGCTAAATTTTGATGTCAGCATAAAGAAAAAGTTCCTTCATATCTTTATCAAGTACACATTGAAACAAACTAAAATGATTTATAAGGTACCAGAAAATGTTTCCAATTATGATACAGACTAGAAAGCATGCAGTCCTTGGGCAAACTGAACACAGTAAATTTCAGAGAAAATCAGTTTTAAAATGGTTAAAAAACATATCTAATGAAATGTGGGGTCATAGAAGAATATTTCGAACACATATTATAGTTGCAAAACAATGATGTGACCTCCTAAGATTATACCAATGCTTATTTGAGAAGCGGTTTTATTTTTATTTTATTTATTTTATTTTATTTTACTTTATTTTATTTTTGAGACAGAATCTTGCTGTTGCCCAGCTGGAGTGCAGTTGCGTGATCTCGGCTCACTGCAACCTCTGGTCCCCAAATTAAAGTCATTCTTCTACCTCAGCCTCCCGAGTAGCTGTGTTACAGGCACTCGCCACACCAAGCTAATTTCTATATTTTAATCAACACTGTCATGTCCCAACTTAAAATGGGTTATCCATTTACAAACTAGTGATTTCTTTTGGCCATCATCTCCATAACCTTTTCATAAAGCATCAATGATTTCATTGTTCCTCTACCCAAATTTCACCATATTGATTTCTTGAGACACTATCTCGCTCTGTCACCCACGCTGGAGTACAGTGGCATGATCATGGCTCCCTGCAGCCTCTACCTCCTGGGCTCAAGCTTGTACCAGTTTATTTTGGTGCAGAAAATGCGACATCACGCACAATTTTCTCATAATATATCTTTTTCCATGAACTTCCTGAAGACCCCTTGTACTAGCAAACTGTATTCAAGAGGATATAAAAAGGATTGTAGATATGCAAGTACCACTTATTTCTGAGATGCAAGGATGGTTCAACATATTCAAGCAAATCAATGTGATATACCACTTGAACAGAATGAAAGATGAAAATCACATCATCTCAGTAGACAAAGAAAAAGCATTTCACAAAATTCAACATCCAGTCATCATAGAAATCCTAAACAAAATAGATACAGAAGGAAATTTACCTCGACAATAGAAAGACCATCCATGAAATGACCAATGCAGAAATAACCAATCGGGGAAAATGGAATGCTTTTCCTGTAGGATCTCACATGATGCAAGAATGCTCTGACCCCTTCTATTCAATCAATACTGGCTGTCCTAGCCAGAGCAGTGAAATAGCAGATGAAATAAAACTCATCCAAATCAGAAAGAAAGAAGTCAAATTTTATTTGTTCGTTGATGACATGACATTCTGTGAAGAAAATCACGAAGAGTCAATCAAAATGCAACTGGAACTAATAAACACATTCAGTGTATTTGCAGAATAGAACAACAGCACCAAAAATTAGCTGAATTTCCATACATTAACAATAAATAATTTTAAAAGAAAATTAGAAACCACTTCCATTTGCTAAAGAACTTAAACTAAGAAACATTTAGAAATAAGCATTAAAAGGTGAGGTTTGTACCTTGAAATCTACAAACATTGATCAAAATGATTAAAAACATGTCTAAATAGATATAAACCCCATACTGATTGGAAAAATTAATATTGCTCAATGATTATACAACTGAATGTGATTTAGATTCAGTACAATACTCATAGAAATCCCTATAACTTTTTGTTAAAGAAACAAAAAACAGGCCAGGCAGAGTGACTCACACCTGTAATCTCAGCACTTTGGGAGGTGGAGTCAGGTGGATCATAAAGTCAGAATATGGAGACTATTCTGGTTAACACGGTAAAACCCAGTCTCTACTAAAAATACAAAAAATTACCCAAGTATGGTGGCACACAACTGTAGTGCCAGCTACTAGGGGAGATCATGCCACTAAACTCCAACATCGGCGACAGAGCAAGACTCCATCTCAAAAAGAAAAAAAGAAAAAGAAAATACAGTTTGGGAAAAGTGGCTCCTGTCTGTTGGCCAGGGTGTTCTCAAACTCCTGACCTCGAGTGACCTACCTGTCTTTGCCTCTTAAAGTGCTGGGATTACAAGCATGGGCCATGGCCCCCAGCACAATCCTCTTAACATAAACAGTTTAATGGTAATTAATGCTTGAACTCAATGTTAAGTCAACTCAAACTCAGGTCAAGGCTGATTTGACTCTAATGTCAATTAATGTTTGATGGTTTGTTATACTCATTGCATCTGAAACAACTGTCTCCAAAAGGAATTGCCTGATGTTCTGCAAGGAGTGACCTCAGACTGAAGACCTTGCCACACTGATGACATTTGTAAGATTTCTGTCCAGTATGGATTTTCTGATGCCTAATGAGGTGTGAACGTGAAGTAAAGGCTTTGCCACAATCATCAAACTTGCGAGCTTTCTCTCCTGTATGAATTATCCTGTTTTGCGTAGGATGAAACTTGACTGAAGACCCTGCCACAATCATGACATTTGTAAGGTTTCACTCCAGCATGAGTTCACCAATGAAATGCAAGGCATGAACGATGTCTGAAAAATTTGCCACACTTATTACACTTTTAAGATCTCTCTTCATTGTGGATTCTCCAATGACTTGCAATGATTGTAGCATTACTGAAAACTTTGTGACAATCATTACATTAGTCAAGTTTCCCTGTCCCATGGATTGCTTGATGGTGAATAAGTGGTGACTGCCCACTAAAGGCTTTGCCACACTCATTGCACTTGTAAAGTTTCTCTCCAGTGTGAATTCTAGTATTGTCAGGTGTGAATCATTCCCGAAAGCCTTGTCACAAACCTTATATTTGTATGTTTTTTCTCCAGTATGAATTCTCCTACGTATTTGAAGCTGGATTTGCGACTGAACTTTGTCACATTGTTCACGTTTGTCAGATTTCTCTGCAGTACGAAGTCTGTGATGACTTGCAAGGTGTGATTATTGATTAAAAACCATGCCACATTCATTAGACTTGTAAGGTTTCTCTCCAGTGTAAATTACAAGGTGTGAATTTTGACCCAAGGTCTTGCCACACTCATTACACTTTTTTTTAAAAATTTATTTATTATTATTATACTTTAAGTTGTAGGGTACATGTGCATAAAGTGCAAGTTTGTTACATATGTATACTTGTGCCATGTTGGTGTGCTGCACCCATCAACTCGTCATTTACATCAGGTATAACTCCCAATGCAATCCCTCACCCCTCCCCCCTCCCCATGATAGGCCCCGGTGTGTGATGTTCCCCTTCCTGAGTCCAAGTGATCTCATTGTTCAGTTCCCACCTATGAGTGAGAACATGCGGTGTTTGGTTTTCTGTTCTTGTGATAGTTTGCTAAGAATGATGGTTTCCAGCTGCATCCATGTCCCTACAAAGGACACAAACTCATCGTATTCCATGGTGTATATGTGCCACATTTTCTCATTACACTTCTAAGGTTTCTCTCCAGTGTGAATTCTAGTATGTTTTGCCAGGTATGAATTATATGCAAAAACCTTGTCACAAATTTTATATCTGTATGGTTTCTCTTCAGTGTGAATCTTCTTATGTTTTTCAAGGTTTGACTCATGACTGAACACGTTGTCACATTCCTCCCATTTGTAAGGTTTCTCTGCAGTATGATGTCTATGATGATGTGCAAGGGTTGCTTTTTGATTAAAAATCTTGAAACATTCATTACGCTTGTAAGGTTTCTCTCCAGTATGAATGGCCCTGTGATTTACAAGGGTTGAATTGTGATGGAAGGTGTTGCCACATTCATTACATTATTCAGATTTCTCTGCACTATGAAGTCTATGATGGTATATAAGGGATGACATCTGACTGAAGGTCTTGCCACACTCATTACACTTGTAAGGTTTCTCTCCAGTATGAAGCCTACGATGGATTATAAGGGATGATGTCTGACGGAAGGTCTTGCCACACTCATTACATTTGTAAGGTTTCTCTCCAGTGTGAACTCTCTGATGTTGTGCCAGGTGTGAATCCCTCTGGAAAGCCTTGCCACAAACCTTACATTTGTATGGTTTCTCTCCAGTATGAATCCTCCTATGTCTTTCCAGGTTTGATTTGCGACTGAAAACTTTGTCACATTCTTCACATTTGTATGGTTTCTCTCCACTATGAATCCTCCTATGTCTTTCAAGGTGTGATTTGCGACTGAAAACTTTGTCACACTCTTCACATTTGTAAGGTTTCTCTCCAGTATGAAGTCTACGATGGCGTGCAAGGGTTGATAGTCGATTAAAAACCTTGCCACATTCATTACATGTGTAAGGTTTCTCTCCAGTGTGAAGTATAGTATGCTTTGCCAGATATGAATTATACACGAAAGCCTCATCACAAACCTTACATTTGTATGGTTTCTCTCCAGTATGAATCCTCTTGTGTCTTTCAAGGTGTGATTTGCGACTGAAAACTTTGTCACATTCTTCACATTCATAAGGTTTCTCTCCGGTATGAAGTGCTTTGTGGATGAAGAGGGATGAATTGTGACCAAAGGTCTTGCCACACTCATTACACTTGTAAGGTTTCTCACCAGTGTGACATCTACGATGGCATGCAAGGTATCGCTTCTGATTAAAGACCTTCCCACATACATCACATTTACATTGTTTCTCTTCTAAGTGAATTATCTGGTGTTTTTTTAAGAGTGAGCTACAATTAAAGGATTTGAAACTCTCGGTACATTCGAAAGATTTTTCTCTCATGTGTCCTTCCCATTTTTGTGTGAGTAATGAAGAATGGAGGGAATTATTTCCATACTTACTAGAAATAAGGGTTTTGGGCCTATCAGAAATTCTTTGGGCTGTTGAAACCGAGGAAGCATTGTTGACAGATTTCTCAACTTGATTACGAATTTTCCCTTCAGGCTGAAATATGTGCAGTTCAGGTAGATGCGAATGAAAGCTTGATCCCAGCTGATCTTTAATAGGCTTGTTTCCAGAATGCCTTTGATCATGTCGCTCTGTACTACCAGTCAACTCTTTGATTTCCATCGTGGGTGCTGCATGGCCATTTGTTTCATCTTCTTTCCACTGAAAGTCGAAGTCATGAGTGTCTTTCCCAATTTCATGGAGGCAAAATTCTCCAGTGTGATGACTTGCTTGTCTTTGCAATGTCCCGGTGACGATCACTTCTGTATTGCCTTTCCCTGTTGATGACAATGTCTTCAACATGCATTTGGAAGAGATATCTACAAAATTTAAACACCAATAGGTTTCCAATTAAGTATGGATGGTATATAATACTGAAATGTGTAAATATCACAGAAAAAAACAATACTTATTTTCAACTTCCCAAATATGAGCTTCAAAGTTTAGGAACACAAAAGGAGTAAGATTCTCTAATAAACAAGGACGATTACATGTCCTTCAAATCATTTCTATGGAAGCCTATTCCCAATATTATGACAAAACACCGACAGGACACAAACATGTGTAAGTCTAAAGGAAGGAGTGTTTTTCCACAGTGACCCTACAGCGTATCACACTTATCACTGCCACATTGGAGAAAAATGTATATCCTTCATATTTACAGCATATTTAGTGTATACAAATAAATGCTAAAGAACCACACAATATACTATATTGGTAAATAATACACCTCAGGCTATTGTGAGAATAACCAAAATTAGTGGAAATTCTGTATTGTCAAATAACGATAGCACTGACAAGAAAAGATTACAAAAATTAGCCAGGTGTGGTGGCCAGGGCCTGTACTCCCAGCTACTCCAGAGGCTGAGTCACAAGAATTGCATTAAGCTAAAAGGCCAAGGTTGCAGTTAGCTAACACTGCACCACTCCACTCCAGCCTGGGTGATAAAATGAGACTCCATCTCAAAAAAAAGCCATGGCGTGGTGGCTCGCGACTGTAATCCCAGTACTTCCGGAGGCCGAGGCAAATGGATCACCTCAGGTCAGGATTTCAACCAGCCTGGCCAACGTGGCAAAACCCCGTCTCTACTAAACATACAAAAAGTAACCGGGCGTGGTCATGGGCACCTGTAATCCCAGCTACTTGGGAGGCTGAGGCAGGATAATCGCTAGAACTTGGGAGGCAAAGATTGTGGTGAGTTGAGATCGTGCCACTTTACTTTACCCTGGGCAACAGAGTGAGACTCCATCTCAAAAAAAAAAAAAAATGTTAATACCATATTTTTCTGAATAACTGTAACAAAATCACCTATATCCATGTGGAACAGGCATATTGTGACCTTTATTTTTAATTTTTGGCATTTTTGTTTTTTTGAGATAGAGTCTGGCTCTGTCACCCAGGCTGGAGTGCAATGGCATGATCTTGGCTCACTGCAACCTCTGCATCCCAGGCTCACGCAAGTTTCTTGCTTTAGGTCCTGAGCACCTGGGATTATAGGCATATGCCACCATGCCTGGCTAATTTTTGTATTTTTAGTAGAAATCGGGTTTCTCTGTGTTGGCCAGGCTGGTCTCGAACTCCTGACCTCAGGTGATCCACACGACTCGGCCTCCCAAAGTCCTGGGATTACAGGTGTGAGCCACTGTACCCTGTGGCACTTTGTGACATTAATGGGGGAGTGTGTCAGTTATATTGCATACCACATACTGAAAATTCACATGTGAAGTCATAAAAATCAATTAATCAAATATTGCAACCCAGGATAAAACAAGCAAGAAAAAAAAAGTAGATTTATACAGACTGAAGGATTCTAAACAATTCCCTCTTAAGAAAAAAGCCAAAACTTGTAGTTACCACCAGTACACAATGTAAGACCTGAAATACATGTTAAGATCACTACCTTCTGATATATGAGGTCAACAAAACACACAGCATTATCAGGAACAAGAATTGGCTAACAGCCGGGTGCAGTGTCACATGCCTGTAATCCCAGCATTTTGGTCAGCTGAGGTGGGTGAATCATGAGTTCAGGAGTTCAAGACCAGCCCAGACAACATGGCGACACACCATCTCTACTAAAACTACAAAAAAAATCAGCTGCGCATGGTGGAAGACGCCTGTAATCCCAGCTACTTGGGAATCTGAGGCAGGAAACATTTGAACCCAGGAGGCGGAAGTTGCAGTGAGGCAAGATCACGCCCCTGCACTCCAGCCTCAGTGACAGAATGAGACTTTGTCTCAAAAAAATAAAATAAGATAAATAACTACTTCTCAAATAAGCTTCGGTAGATTTGGTATTCTCTAATAGGATGTTCCTGCAGATGCAGACCTTGAGAGGATCTAGTCATGGGTGTTGACTACTCGTGAATAGGACCAGCGCATTTATAAAGAGACAGTAAAGAGCTCATTTCCTGTTCCTCTTTCCACCATGTCAGGACACGGCAGGAAGATGGCTGGGCTAAACCATGAAGAAGGCTCTCACCAGGAACCAATGTGGCTGGCACCTTGCTCTTGGATTTCCCACTTTGCAAATTCATGAGAAATAAATGTCTGTGTCTGAAGCCTCCCAGTTTAAGCTATTTCCTTTTTTGTTTGTTTTTGAGATGGAGTCATGGTTTATCACCCAGGCTGGGGTGTACTGGCAGGATTCTCCTACCTCAAGTGATTCTCCCTCCTCAGCCCAGAGTCTCACTGTGTCGCCAAGTCTGGAGTTCAGTGGCATGATCTTGGTTCACTGCAACCTCCACCTCCCGGGTTCAAGGGATTCTCCTGCCTCAACCTCCCAATTAGCTGGGATCATGGGTGCACGCCACCATGCACAGCTAATTTTTGTATTTTTAGTAGAGATGGGGTTTCACCATGTTGGCCAGGCTTGGCTCAAACTCCTGACAAGCGATCAACCTGTCGCAGCCTCCCAAAGTGCTGGGATTAGAGGGGTGAGCCACCATGGCCGGCCAGTCTAATCTATTTCTAACAGGAAAGTGAAATGACAGAGACAGGAAAAAGAGCATCTCATCATTAACATCACCGAAAGCTGACAAATCTTATTAAACTAAGGAAGTTGAGAGGCTGTACTGTAAAACTTGCAATCCTTGAAGCCATCTACTAGCACTAACATGTTTTAAAAACCTTGAGACAGGCCAGGTGTGGTGGCTAGTGCGAGTAATCCCAGCATTTTGGGAGGCTGAGGTGGGAGGATCACCAGGCCAGGAGATTGAGGCCATCCTGGCTGACAAGCTGAAACTCCGACTCTACTAAAAACAATACCAAAAAATTAGCCCGGTGTGTTAGCACTCACCTGTAGTCCCAGCTACTTGGAAGACTGAGGCAGGAGAATTGCTTGAACCTGGGAAGTGGAGGTTGCAGTGAGCCTAGATCACACCACTGCACTTTAGCCTGGGTGACAGACCGAAACTCTGTCTCAGAGAGAAAAAAAAGAGAAATGAAAGAAGGCTAAAGAGTAACTCCAACCCACA